AAGGCTTCTACCCAGTGAGGTAAGTGACTTTCAAACATCATAGATAAACCAAGCTCAATCACATGTTTGTGTTTCCTCTCAGCAGTTCCATTTTTCTGAGGGGTATAAGGACATGACATATAATGTCAAATACCACACTATTGCAGGTGATTCTTCATTTGATAACTCATAAATTCTCCTCCTCCATCACTCTGAAAAGTTTTAATCTTGTGTCCCACCTGATTCTCAACAAGCTTTTGAAACATAATGAAGATAGAGTAGAATTATGATTTGATTTTAAGAGGGTAGAACCAACTGTATCTTGAGAAATCATCGATAAAAATTGCATAATATTTGAATCCTTGGTTTGATACAACTGGTGAAGGATCCCATAGATCACAATGAACTTTTTCTAGGGGCTTCTCTACTCTAGAATCTGAATAAAGAAACTGAAGTTTACTATTCTTCCCCATTTGGCAAGGCTCACAAATGGAGGTAATTCTGCTCTTATTGATGTTTATTTCTTTGCAGGCTTGAAGATGTTGAAGTAGCTTGGAGTTTAAGTGTCCTAAGCGGCTATGCCAAACGTCTGCACTTTCTGAGCATTGCATGTTTGAGAAGAAAGCACTAAACTCTTTGTTATCCAACATATAGAGACCATTTGTTTAGGACCTTTGGCCACCACTTTCTGAGTAGGGATATCAATAACAGACTTTATTAGCATCAAAGTACACCCCACACGGTTGATCATCACATAACTTAGAGACATATAACAATGATTTCTTTATAACAGCGCAAACAAGGACCTCGCTTAAGAGAAGATTACATGAGGAAGTGGTAAGATTTGATGATCCAACGTGAGTTATTGGGAGATAGGTACCATCACCAACCATCATTGTGCCATTTCCATCATAAGGATGCGCTGTTTGAACATTTTTGGTTGATGAAATTACATGTGCCGAAGCTCCCGAATCATGATACCACTCCTTGCTAGAATCATCTGACATTCTCGTTGTAGCATAAGCTGCAAGTTGATAGTTATTATCAAACCTGTTGTAGCACTTCAAGGCTGTATGACCAACACGTCCACAGATTTGGCAAGTGGGTCTCTCTCCCGAGTTTGTATTGTTGTTTTGTTGAGAGAACCCCCTACCTCTGCCTGAGTAACCTCCACTGCCTTTGTTAGAACTTGATCTCCCTTGTCCTCTTTGGTTGTAAGATCGGTACTGTTCGTTGTAGTTTGATTTTTCAGTGTTGAGCGTTGTTGTATGGTTAACACTTAGAGTATCTTCATAGGACTGGAGGCGAGCATCAAAGCTTTGTATGTCTGAGACAACGTCATTGAAGGTAGGTTGAGGTATTTTGGACAGAGATGTTTGGATGATTGTGGTGATGCATGAGATCGTATTCTCTTCCTAGTCCATTGAGAAATCCAAAGATTTTGAGAGACTCATCTATTGGCTTCCAAGTGGAGCTCAAGAAATCACAAATGGTCTTGAACTCTCTTGTGTACACTGAAAAGGTCTTGCCTTTGTTGTTCAATAACTGAAGACTTCTACGAAGAGAGTATTCTCTGGCCATTGACGACTTGTTGAAGTTCTTTGCTAACGACATCCACACTTCACGAGCTGTAGACAGATTGTGTACGTATCCAAGGACCTCTTATGACAATGTACCAATGATCCAGGATTTGACGAGCTGATCTGAACAGAACCAGGACTCATACTGTGATCGGTGACTTTTGGAGGCGTGACACTTCCATTGATGAACCCAATAAACTTCTTACTTGACAACAGAGATTCAATCTAAGTTTTCTACAGCAAATAGTTCGCATCTGTAAGCTTGTGAGTGACACAGCTTAGGATCTGAACATTGCTTGGAAAAGGATAAGGATTCAGCTGCTGAGCCGGCATTGTTAGACCTGTTAAGGTACTAAAATAGCTCTGATACCATATGAAGAACGAAGTAAAGAGATAAACTTCTTTGATATTTTATTAACTTGACATTACAGGAATACAACGTTCAGTCTTTTATATGACCGAGAGAAGAATCTAGACTAATATTAGCTGTCTTGGTGACTCATACATTAACAGCTAATAAGGTTAAGAGTCGGTTATAAAGTTGAGGATGAGCTTCAACTTTATAGTTTGTATTCACAGGTACAATTGCAGTAGCCATTGATGATGATAAACTATGATGTTTTTTATCTTGACTTGCAGGTGGGCTTGGGGTTGGGCTTGATCATAGTGGACTTACAGAGGACATGCAATGGTTGAAAGCCCAATGATGCCTCTGTACACTCTTCTATCCTTATCATCAATCTCAGGCCATCGATTTTCCTCAACCTTCCTTGACGAAACCTATTTACACTCATCCCATATCAGGTACCTTTGTCATTGTATCCTAAACCTTATAATGTGTTTACTAAAGTAATCCTTATAACGTAAACTGGTTTACTAAGAGAGTACTTAGATTATATACTTGGCTCATTATAAGTACTATTGAAATAGTGATTTAAAATATATTTATAAAAATTAACTTTTGGCCAGTGTTATATATATTTAACTCACATGCATATAATAAATGTATATGGCTGCATTATGATCTTGAAATTAATAATTATAAGTTGTAGAAACACTTTGGTTATGAAGTACAAAATTCATTAATTTGAATCATCGTCTAAGAATCACACAATACTAAAAACAGTTTAGATAGTTTACATTTTCTGATGAATCGATTATCACAAATTGTTATGTACTTAAGTGAAAAGTAATGTTTTTAAAACCGGACCGGAAACTAAACCGGATAGTCATTAGATCATGTTTCAGTAGATTCGATCGGGTCAAACCTAGTTGAGTAATCTGATTCAGTTTTTTTAATATATAATTTAAAATTAAAATAGTAAACATGATACATAATCTAATTTTACTACTTGATCAGTTCATGATCGAACAAGTTACTAGATCTAACCCGACTTCATGACCTGTTTATGGTCGAATATGGTCCAACTACCGAGTCGTTCTGGTTTTAAAAACACTTACAAAGTTCATTTAGATAGGCTATGTTTTAATATTTGGGATACTTAGTTTGAGAGAACACAAATTGGTTGTGATGAAAACCCTCCCGGAAATCGGCACTTGAAGGTTGGTATATGGACATGATTTGAATTGAATAATTGATCAAAGAAAGGTGGAACGAAGGGTCACACAAAGGTTGCGGAAGGTTTTTCTCCTAAACCCAAGGATATGACACACCAAGATGACCTAGGAGGAATTGTTGCTTTGGGTTCACACACCTCACAATAGAAATACGATGTCCATTGGATAAAAAAATTAACAAACTTAAAAGAAAATTTTTATTTAAAAGGTTGAATGACTGAAACAAGAGATTACATGACTTATTTATAGGATAACTAAACTTGCTGAGAAATGTAGAAATTTATTGTTCCATAAAATAATAAAACAATGCATGAAGGACTGAGAAGGTTCTTTAAACAAAGAGTCCTTGCATGCAAGAGGGAGGAGAGCCTCTTGCAATAAATACTCTAATTTTTGTCACTTTTTTCAACAGCAAAAAAAAACACTTCTTTTTTAATCTTCTTGGGCTTTTAACTCCATAAAATTGAGTTAACTTTGATGCATAACCTCTTGGACCTTTCTCGTGACCAAAACACCAAATCTCAACCATAATAATAAGTCTAAATCTTCCACACACATAATCATAAGCTAAGTCTCTAATTGATTTGTTTCTGTTGCTGGTCCGGGTTGCATCAGGCTGCCAAAAAGATTCTTGGTGACTGTGTAGCAGGAATGAGGAAAAAAACTTGGGCAACAAAAAGGTTTCTTGCAGTGTACGTTGGGGATAACCAGAAGAAGAAGAAGAGGGGGCACACTGTACCAACCAACACAAGCAGAGATAATAGCTTTTTAAGATGCTAGCTAGCAAGTTGTTGAACCAAAAAAAAAACAGAAATGATAGCTATGAGTTACCAAGTGATGTTATATGGTGTTATTATGTGCGGTGATTTGGAGCAGACTTGGGTGAAATGTATCGACCGAGTCAGATCTGTATTCAGTATTTGGTTTGACTTATTTATATGTTCACCGATTAGGAAAAGCTGATGCCAAGATAAAAGCCAACAAGCACTAGTAGAGGTAGACCGAGAAGAACTGGATTATATGCATAGTAGTCTGGTAGTTCAAGCTAGGAAGTTTAAGACCGTTAACAGGTTCATTTTGACATAGTGGTGTGACCATGTCTTTCAGTGTGAGGATTCAAACAATGGTTGATTTTGTGTTTCAGGGGAAAACAATTGGCAGGGATCAAGAGAAGTAAATGATGAAGTAAGCTCAATGGAATTCGTTTGGAGGCTCTTGATTTTGTGATTGTTACCTTTTAGGTAGAGGTTTAGGCTGTGTAATAATAGTTTTAAGAATAAAATTTGTATTTGCTAGAGACCAGAGTTTTTTGGTTATGTTGTAATTGTCGTGGCTCGAGAAAACGATCTTTCTTTGTTTCTTGCTCTAGTTGCTATTACCCTAATCAAGTGTTATTAGGAGAGTATTGTTCAAGTGATTTAGAGCATTAATTTTGCACAAGGAGAACCACTCCTATTCAGGCTCCAACTTGTGATTTCTTCAGCAACTTCATTTTGATTTTCTTAAACATGTTAGGCTATTATATCATCCATTTTCTTATCTATTTTGCAAACCTTGTCCGGTCATCAATACTTTATATTATGAACTAATATGTTTTTACAGGTCATACATATGCTACTCTGCCTCTAAAGTTTGCAACAATTCTTACAAGTATTGCAACAAAGCTGTCTCCTTCATGACTTATATGGTCTTGCCTTGAGGAGATTTAAGATCCAAAAACACGAGGAAAAGAATGGACTTTGGATTAATACATTCAACAAGAATATGATCCATCCATACATGCCTTTGGTTGGATGTCTTGCAATAAACAAAATGCACATTCAGTTTGCACTAACTATGCCAAGAGAGATAAAGAATAGATATCTAGACATGTGAACTTGTTAAACAGCTCCATCTCCTAGTGCGAGATCCCTCACCTAGAATCATAAGCATCCCCATATTATTCGCTGACAAGTTGTACACATACCTGCATTGCAATGTTGTAATTGCATTCATCAGAAAGCAGTAAACTCATAAAGTAAGTGTTTTTACAGGATAATCTTCTTACTTGTTTTGCTTGGTTTTCCTTCTCCAAGAAACGAAAGACACAATCCACTAAACACACAAGGATGAAGGGAGAGCAAAACTCAGGCTTGCTTACACATAGTTCAGATAGCAGTACGTGATTTAACATAGGAGAGATTATGATTATTTTACCTTGAAGAACGTTACTACGCAGAATGCTTTGAAAGATGGTATTTTGCTAGCTAGGTTTCTCCTGTTTGTTGCAACAGTATCCTTTGATAAATGCTGTGCTATCTCTTTCAGCAACACCAATTGAGCTTTGTCTGTTCGCATAGATACAATGGTATGTCTCAATGACTCTCTGTCAGCCTCAAGTGCTTGAAGCCTCGTGTAAAGCTTCTCAACATCCGGCTCATTAACACCTTGCTGAGTCATGACCACCGGTTCTTGGTACCTCGGAGAAGTCCAGTGATCACCGTTCAACTTTCCCTTGATAATCTTACTAGGCTCATCATCATGAATGGAGTCAATAGTATAATCTCTATCACCACTACAAGACATAGGAGAGTCTGCAAAACATGTTCCATTTCTCTCTTTTGCAGCTCCCAAAGGCGAATTTGGATCATAGTATGGCCACCTTGGAGACTGACCAACCATCACCTTTTCCACAACCTCAACATTACCATCTGGTCCACTCGGATTCTCATCATCCACACTACATTTCAAAGTGTACTCACACGGGTAAAGATCAATACCAACCGTGCTAGAGTCTCTACCAAAACCAAGAATCTGATCATGCATCTCTGCTTCTGTTATCCCATAACTCAGCAACATATCCTTGTAAGCTTCAACCTCATAAGACAAAACCTCAATAGCTTGCTCTTTCTCATACAACAACTCCTCAAGAACCTTAACCTTTTCTTGGTCATGCGTCATCTTCTCCTCAGCAAACGCTTTGAACTGCCGAGCTTCCATCTGTATCTCAGCCTTTTCTCTCTGCAACCTAAGTATCATCGACATTGTCTCGTTAGCTGCTGAAGCAGCAGCGTTTCTCTCCTCCTCAAGCTCCAAGTCAAGCTCTTTCACTGTCTTTCTTTGGCTAGAGAGATCCTCAAGTAAAGCAGCACATTGGTTCTCAACTAGTAACTTTGCGTTTGAAGATGAATCAGAAGAGCCTCGTAACAACAACATAGTGTTGTTCCCTTCTTTGTTGAACTTTCTTTTCACCGTTCTAGTCCAAGAATCTGAAGAACATGCCCCAATGGGATAATCACAACCAAAGTCACAGCATTTCACAACGTCTCTTGAAGGAAAACTCAACTCAGAATCCATGGCTATCTCAAATGCTAAAGCCAAGTACGTTCCCAAAAAACCCTAACTTGTGAATCTAATCAAAGGAGGAACCTTTAACAACTTTGCCGTTAGTGAATTGCGAGAAAGTTTCTTGCATAGCCAAAACTGAGAAGATAAAGTGATGATTTTCAATACACAGAATATATGAAAAAAAAAAGCTGGAGAATTTAACGATATAAATGTAATCTTCTTTAACCTCAACACGAAACTTAAGATGGGTGCAGCCACCCTATTCACAAAAATCTCTCATTCCGGAAGACAAAGAGAAACTTTCCTTCTGTTTCTCGGGAAAAAAAAACAGAGGAAAATGTAGAAACAGAGGGTGAGAAGATGGGGGAAAAGGTTTTTGTCTTTTGTGTTTGATTATTCACCTTCCCAATCTATCTCCCTTTTTTTATTGGAGCGTATTTCATAGTTCTTGGTAATGTGCCCACATACAAGAGTAATATCATGAATAAAGTTTGGCCTTTCTCTGGGAAAAAGGCAAAATTAAAAAGATATTTTGTTAAATGCAATGTTTTTTTTTGAGTTTGTAATTTACTAATTACAGAGAAAAATTTGTGAACAGATAGGGAGAATTAGATCTGAAAGTTAAGAAATAGATTTGTATATGAGCAAAGTTAGAACTTACACAATCATAATTCAATTATTTTTACGATTGTATATGAGCTAATGTACCTTGAGAAGATTTGATTTACAATCAGATTGAAAAATCTTTACCAATCGTACTGATTCGTCCAATCTACTGCAGCTGAACAGAATCTTCAACGAAATTTCTAATCAAAGTTCAGTCATTATCGTTTTCTTGGTATAGATTTATCATCAAACACTTGCACCAAGAAAACAAAAAGCGACATTTTGGGTAGATCACTATGTTGATTCATTTATCTTTTTTTTTGTTGTTGTTGTAAAGGTCATATATGATTGCAACAGAAAAAAAGAAAAAAAAAAGCAAACAAGTTTACATAAATAAGTAGGGGTGGAACGGATCGGATATCCGGGGTATTTCAGGATATCCGGATCCGGATCCGGATTCGGCGGATCCGTAAAATTACTATCCGGATTTGGATTCGGGCCATCCGGATATCCGGGGTCCGGATATCCGGACTAAAACTCGGATACCCGCGGATATCCGGATCCTGTTTATTTAAAAAAAATAAAAAAAAAATTCGAAATTCAATATTTATTTATTTTATTAAAAATTAGTACTTTCAAAATTTTTAAATTAAAATAATAGAATTTATTAAAAAAATTAAATATTAGTTATATTTAACAGAAAATATATAATATACCTTTATAAATATAATTATATTTTAAATATTTTTTAAATATTTAGTGGGCCCGGATCCGGATCCGGATATCCGGACTGAAATTTTCACTATCCGGATTCGCCGGATCCGTGAAATCACTATCCGGATCCGGATCCGAACCCCCCGGATATCTGTTTTTTCGGAGCGGATCGGATCGGATCCCGGATCGGATAGCGGATCCCGGATATAAGTCCCAGAGGATGCCTTGCATATCTAGTATCTACTGTACAGGTAGACAAATTAATTTCATCGGTTTGTGTGTTTGGTTTTCAAAACAAGGAATTTGTGTCTCTTTAAATTTAATTGTCGCATAAATTAGAGATTAGTGGAGATGGTTGTACAGGCAGGCAACACGTGGTTATAATAAATAAATAAAAGTAATGAAATTAAATAAATTGAGAAAGGATAAGTCATAAACAACAGGGGAAATGGAAATTATTTATTGTATGTTTCAAAGCATTATGTTAATAAATTATCTTCTGGTCATAATTGTTAACAAAATCTAAAGTACATAAATGTAAATTAATCCTACAGCATTATTAGTTACAAGTAATATAAATATTAAAAGAAATTTTGAAACCACCATAGTTTCAAATGTTTGGAATCACTACATTAAATTTTCTCATATCATTGTAACAAACCGCTCTATACAAATGGGCAAAACCAAAACTGTAGTGCCTTAGTTTCTTCAGCCATTTTCTGTTCAACCTGTAACCACAACAGAAGATGATTCATGGTATTATGTGCACTTAAGGAAAGATCTTTCGGTAGCTTTATAAGGCATGCATGAAAGCAAGAGTAGAGAGCTTAAAGGTATGAGGGGACAAATATATAGTAAATAACCTCTTATATACACATCCTTTGCGTAAATGGTAAGAGGGTTACAATACATGGGGGGTACTAATAGACACAAATACAATAGTTCACTCGCTGTGAACATCACCAACGTAAAAAGAATGAACTTATGTGTATAAACTCGGACACAGAGGCAGCTTCGTATTCAGAGGCCAGCTGAAACCAAACCATGCAACGTTACAATTCCAATCAAGGTGTTGTCTTCATTGACCACCGGTAGAAACTGTACAGGCGATGGCGGTGACTCCATCTTCTTCATCGCTTCAACTGCCATTGTTTCCGGTCCAATTGTCCTCGGCCTCCTATTTTCAAAACAATAGGGTCAACACACACCAATGTTTATACGATCTAAAGCAGAGTTTTTTTTTTTTCTCTTACCTGTTGCACATTTCTCCAACACTGAGTTTGAAGATAGCCTCTCCACTTGCCTTAAGAGTCCTGCGAAGATCTCCATCGGTGAATGTACCGATCAAGCGATGATGTTCATCAACCACAAGCAAACACCCACATCCTTTGCTGGTTAGCTCCACTAACTGATCCATTATCAAGTCTCCTTCTTTACAAACTGGAAGCTCTTCTTTCTTCTTCATAACATCCTTTACCTGCAAGAAATAATAATAATAGGATAGATTCACACCCAACTCTATAGGTTCTTAAGTAGGTTAGTTATATCCAATGTCCTAAACACTCAAAATAATTAAAAAACATAAACTACAAAATATTCGAAATAACTAAAAACAACCGATATAAAACAGCTAAAATTTCTACAACATTATAAACTAACTAAAATATCTAATATTATATAAAAATTAACAGGTTTAATTAATTTAGGATATTTATTTGGGTTTGGATAATATCCGATAACCAAATTATTACCGATCCAGTATTTAATTAAAAACGGTTTAGACCGGATTCGATTCCGGTTTAGTAATAAACGTCCAGGCCAATTCTTAAGGGTTATCATGTGAGCAATCTCGAGAGACCAAACCTTAAAAATCAAGCTCTTGCCGATCCTACCAGCAGGATGATTAGCTCCATACTCTTCCTTCGACAGATTCCTAGCCGCCATGAGCGCAACCGCAACCGTATCACCAAACACCATCTGAATCGCCGTAGACGTCACGGGAGCAAGATTAAACGGACACAACTCCCTCTCCAACGGCAAATGCACATTCATATCGCAAACTCCCGCGAGCGGATTCCCAGGAACGGAGGTGAGAGACACGAGGAACGTTCCTCTAGCCTTCGCGCAGGGGACGAGGCGGAGAAGCTCCTCCGTGGAGCCCGATTTGCTGAAGAGGACGAGGACGTCGCGGGAGGAGAGAGCGCCGATGTCGCCGTGGAGCGCGTCGAGAGGGGAGAGGAAGGAGGAGCGGAAGCTGAGGGAGATGAGGGTCTGGGAGATTTTGTTGGCGACGAAGGCGGATTTGCCGACGCCGGTGAAGAAGACGATGCCGGAGGTGGAGAGGAGGAGGCGGGAGAAGGAGAGGGTTTGGGAGAGGTCGAGGTGTTTGAAGAAGTGGTTTAGGAGATCTTGTTGGGATTTGAAGAGGGTGAGGAGGTTGTCTTTGGAGATGTCTTGATGGTGGTCGTTGCCGTTATTGGCGGAGGAGAAGTCGAGGTGTTGCGGTGGTAGAGATCCCATTGTCGATCTGAGAGAGATCTCTGTTAGATTGAGATCTCGTGCTTGGAAGAGAGATCTAAAATAAAGCAGATGGTTGCATTAATGGAGTCGGAGGGCAAAAGGGTAAAGTACTTATTGCGGATTTTTTCGTGGTGATTGAGTGAGTGAGTGAGTTTTGAGGGGCGTCGGTGATTTGATTATTTAGAGGTAAAATTAGCGGTTTAGAATATGATAAGTCTCTTTTGGTCAAAACGAAAAATATGATTTGGTCATTAATATACAAAATGAAATATGATGAACTTCTTTCATATATTGTATGATGACGTCGATAATATATCAACTATTTTGCTCAACAGTCAACACAGAGATCATTAGGAGAAGAGCGAAGTCAACTAACACAAGTGTTTACTATTTTTGTCAAGTTGTTATTTTTTCTTTTACCGGATGCTTTTGAGTTTAAACCATTGCTGTATTTAAGTCGTTTTTAGTTTCACATGCATTTTTTAAGATTTAGAAATAAATAATAGACAATCCTAAAAAAATGCATGTGAAAACTGTTAGAATTAGAAAGGATAAAAACTACAAATTCATATGCCTCAAATTTTTATGAGTTGTTCCTCCTATTTTTTAGTAGAGTGAGTTACCTATTAAGGTACTTGTGCCTCTTTTTTATCATGTTTAGACACATCTTGCTTTAAGGACATTTTGTCCTCTTTCTTTTCAAGATTGATTACATAAGAGAAGCGAGGATGATTTGAATTTTTTATATTAAAATTTTGTCTTTTATTATGGAGACTAGATATATTTCCTTAGAGGAGTTATTAAGGTTGGTGTCTAGGATAGAGAGACACCTTTGAGCCGTTGGATGAACAGAGATCCCACAGTGAGGGTGGTCTAATTTTTGAAATTGTATCTTTCATAATAAATGTTAAGTTTCTGTGTTTTAGGCAAAGAGGAGTAGCCGCAGCTTGGCGGGAGGAGGGGAGAAAGGTGTGTTTTTTTTTTGTATATAAATTGAATCTCTGAAATTGGAAATCGAGAACATGACTTGAATCTCCCGCAGCTTGGACGAGGATACTAAATGGAAACGAAGTTTGGTTTGAGTTCCGACATTAACAAAATATTTAAAAATAACAGTAAAAGTTCTGGGGTGTAGCGTAGATATGGATAGAAGGTATGTGGACAGAAGATTTATGTCCATATAATATAAGAAACAACCAACTCAAACGCTAAAAAAGTACTTACACAATTACTAAAAAAGAAGATTTAGTGAGGAAGGATACTAAATGGAAATGAAGTTTGATTTGAGTTCTGACATTAACAAAATATTTAAAAATAACAGTAAAAGCTCTCGATGTAGCGTGGATATGGACAGAAGGTATGTGGATAGAAGGTTTATGTCCATATAATATAAGAAACAACCAACTCAAACGCTAAAAAAATACAGACACAATTACTAAAAATGAAGATTTAGTAGTCTGCAAGGTGCATTGAAATAGAAATCAAGCGTATAGTTTTTGCCATTGGCAAGCAACGCATCAAAAGCATACAAGAAAAGGAAAGACACATCCTCCAAAATATTACACAAAAGAAGGGATGGGGACATGTGTTATCATCTAGGCATCGATGGAGCGTGCAGCATAATAGGCAGGCAGCATAATAATCTCGGCGGTAGGCGTAGATCCGGTCCCGATGAACCTAAAATAACCACATGTAAAATGAAATTAACCGAGACAGTGAGAATTATGCCAAATGAAGGAAATAAATTTGTGAGAGAAATTCATATAAGATGGACAATGGTTGCTGATTTCGTCGAGAAATTGATACTTTGGAAGAACTACAAATCTAAACGACGACCTCTATACTCACTCAAAGATCTGTAATTTAAATTGAAACTAGGGTCGGAGTGGTAAAAGTTACCTCCGGCGTTTTGCGGTGGGTCTGGTTCGTGAGACGGAGCAGGTTTCTTCTTCTTCGAGTTCGATTTCACCATTGTTAACTATCTCGGAGTTCTTCTTCTTCAACTTCGAATTCTAGGTTAAAGAAACTGTCACGGGAAAGGGAAAGTGAAACGTAAAAATAAAAATAAATGGTCGAAGTCGACTTGTTTATTTGTTTTGGGTGGGAATTGTTTTGAATTAAAAAATGGAATCAGAGTTAGTCACTTTGGGTTTAGTTAATAGATGATTTGGTTAAAATAAGGGTATTGTGGTATTTAGATAGGCAACAACTGTCTAACAAGTAGCAAGTGTCCTTTCTTGAAATTCATAAGAGAGAAAGTGTGTGGGAGTGTAAAAAATTCTTTTTAGTATACTTTCGAGACAATTGGTGAACAAATGAATGCGGAACAAAACTTTAGTGAAATAATATGATTTAAGTGGGCTGGCGATCTATTTCCCCACCGTAACTATGTCGTCGCATTATTTCCCCACCATACTATTGCCTCGTTTCATTTCCCCACCAAACGAAAGTTAAATATCTATATACCCACCAAACGAAAGTTAAATATCTATGTCCCCATCCGACCAATTTCGATGGTTAAATGTCGAAACCCGAGTACCAAACCATCAAACCTCCATTAGTAAACCGAACATAAACCCAAATATTGGTAAACCGGACCGATATCTCTGCGATATAACCCGACCCCAACGGTCAAAAATCCTAAATCTAAAGAATCCCAAATCGATAAGAACCCTAAAAAAATTCGAAAGCCAATTGTTCAATCCTTCCTCCTTCACTCTGATTTCTTGAAATTGACGGTGAGTCTATGGTTATTTACAGTTATGTGTTCTCTTTAATTGCTTAAAACTGTAGAATGTGAATCCCAGAGTTCTTCTTCTCCTTTTCTTATTGTCGAGTGCTTTTTGATTTTTGTTCTTGATCTCTCTTCACTCTGTGTTAATTTTCTGATCTAAAGCCATGAGTAACGTGTTTGGAGCTTCTAGTGGATCGTCAAGTGGGCGTTCTGGAGTTAGAGTGTTTGGTGTGCCGAGAATTTGTCATTGTGGGGTTCCAATAATGGAATTGATATCTAAATCCAGCAACAATCCGTACCGGCGTTACTATCGTTGCAGATATGTTGTATCTAAGAAGGTAATTTGATTAAAATCCTTGTTTCTTCTTCATTGTATTAGTTAATGTTGTCTTTTAACTTTCGTTTTGTCTAAATAATGCATAGCTTTCGAATGATAACCACACTTTCAAGTGGGTCGATGAGGCTCACTTAGATGAGATAGAGGCATTGAAAATGAAAAATGCTTCACTTGCGGAAAAACTGGAGACAGTTACAATGGAGAGGAATGAGTTTGAGAGAATGGTGTTTGAGAATGTGCAAATGAAGCTTGAGAAGGAGATTTTCGAGAGAGTTGAAGAGGCTTTGGTTGAATCATCATCTACGATGAAGAAAATGATGGTTGTTGTAGTTGTTTTGTGTATGGTCATGGTTGGATTTAGTAAGCTATTTGGTTGAAAATGTTCAGAAGAATGACCTTGTTTTAGTTTTTAGTAATCTTGTGGTTTGTGTGTATGATCATTGTGGTTTGTGTACTTTGACATGATTTCAATTTTATTAATGCTATGAATTTGTCTAATTTAAATTGATTGTTAAGATAATATACAAGCTTTTATAGATAATATTCAGTATTATGCAATGATTTAAAAGATAATATACAAGCTTTTAGCTGCAACAACAAAAGATAATATCAAATGCAAAACAAAGATAGATAAATGTCATTACATATCCAAGACCTTTAAGTTCAAAACCAAAGATATATGTCATTACATATCCGAGAGATTTAAGTTCAAAACAAAAGATAATATATGCCATTACATATCAAAACATTCAAGCTTGAGAAACACTAGCTTGAGTGAGAGTTCCTTGCGAGGATTCACCTTCAGTTTGAGATGTGCTTACCGGTACCGAATCATCATGCTTTGCATGCCACCTCGAGTTGTGATTAGCCTTATGACAAATGCCGCAATGCATAGTCCTTTTCTTTGCTTTTGGTTGCTTCTTAATTGGTGACTCATTTACACCTCTTTTTCTTGTCTTATCCGCTTTGGTGAGCTTCTTCTTACATGTTTCTTTCCCTCTTTCTCCTTCTGTTTCTTCCCCTTGTTCACCCTCTATAGGTGGAGAATGTACATCAGGAGAATTTGTTTTGGGCCAAAACATAGAACCTCTGACTGGAACAATTCCATCTGTTTAGTTTCTTCTCCACTTAGCCGTGCGAAACCACTCACAAACATAGTCTGACGGATCAAGCTTTAACTTCAGAATCTCACCATACGCATGCTTACATGGAATTCCAGTGATGTCGAACTTCTTGCAAGAACAAGTTCTTTTCTCCAAATTGACACGATGAGTTTGGCCATTTAGTCTTGAGTCAAAGTAGCTTTTAACGCTTGTTCTAACAACACATTTGTTGGCTCCATCTTTAAAGGGCTTATCAACAAGAGCCTTAGCGAGAACTCTCTGCACATATGGCGTACATTTTCCTGACAAAGAGAGTGCCAATTAAGTTAACTGAGATTATATTTTTTAAAAATTAGAAGTATTGAAGAAAACTTACCTTGGTGGTCATGAGATTCTCTGGATCTTGTGGCTATACGTATCATAGCAAGTCTTGCTATTGTTTCAAGCATATGCACAAATGGCTTTTCTCTTGCCTTGTTGATGGAGCTGTTGAAAGACTCTGTCGAGTTGTTCTCCACATCTTCGCAGTAATTTCCCAGCTTGAAGAAAGCTCTACACCAACTCTTAGGATTTGTAGCCATAACATCTGTATACACACCTGTATCGTAGCATCTTAACCTGTCCAAGTTTTGTTGATACTTTGCTTCATTGTAGCTCCATGCTAAACTCCATATGTAGGACTTCATCTGTTTTTTTGTTGCCATGTTTCTTCTTCAAATTCCCGTAGATGTGTCTTACACACTTTCGATGCTCCATCTTAGGCAACTCAATCTTAATAGCTCTGACCAATCCCTGATACATAACAACAAACTTAATCAAAAAACACCATAAAGAAGCACTGATTTCAACCAAAGCAAAAAAAAAAAACTTACCGGACTACGGTCTGAGACAGCAATGTAATTGTCACCGTCCTTTAAATCCAAATCAACCTTCAGTTTTTGCACAAACCATTGCCAATTCTCGTTATTTTCCACCTTTACAACAGCCCAAGCTATTGGATAAATAGCATTGTTGGCATCTCTACCTAAAGCGACCAATAATTGTACCTTGATTCTCTCTTTGAGGAAGCAACCATCAAGTCCTATCAATGGCCTACAACTGTCCTTCCAAGTATTCCTGATAGCGTCAAAGCAAACATAGAATCGATTGAAGACATCTTGACCTTCAGCATTTTGGAACGTGTCTACTTCAACAGAAGAACCAGGATTTGATTCTACAATCTCGGCAGCATAATCTCTAAGGCGTGCAAACTGGTGATCATTTTCACTCTTAATCCACTTCAAAGCCTTGTTCCTACCAGCTTGACACTGAGGCCTAGACACACTAATAGACCAATTTTCCATGATCAACTCCTCGATCTTCATAGGCATATAGTATGCCGGCTCTTCACGGATCTTGTTCACAAACAACCTAGCTATCACAGGGACCTTCACCATCTCACACTCTCCATTTTAACCTCACATGTGTGTTTATCTACATACAACCTAACTCTCCAAATTTTATCCTTCGGAAGGATCGAAGCATAAATATTCCAACCACAAGCTTCATCATTCTCACCATGACCAGCACATTCGAAACCAATCTTATCCTTATCATACCTGTATTGTTTGATATTCCGGCGAGTCCTAAGGGCATAATCGAGGACTCTGTCTTTGAAAGCCACACCATTGAAGAATGTCTGGTCTCGGTACAGATGCCCATCACCATGGCGTATATGCGTTCGCATTCTCATTCTCTGTGGAGCTTCAGGATCTTCTTCCTCCTTTTCTTCATCGCTCTCAGGCAAGACGTCATGCTGAATTGGCGGCTCACTCACGAAATTTCGCAACAATTCGTCGAGTTCAAACTCTTCTCGCTCAACTGCTTCATCATCAATTTCGAACCCTCCTTCGCCGATTATAGGTACTACAGACATGGTAAACACGAATTCAATCGAATTCGTGTTGTTTTCTCTCGAGAATTCTCTCTCACTCTCTCGATTTCACTTTCTAGGGTTCTTAGGTTTTTGATTTGGGGATTTTCTGGGTTTAGATAGATTAAGGTTGGTTTAATCGTTAAAAATAGTTTAGTTCGGTTAAGTCGAGATTCGGTATTTAACTAACCCGTATTAACCAAACTAATTAACCAACTAATCATGGCTCTGTGTGGATTTGAGTGTTGAACTTTGGTCGAGTGGGGAAATAGATATTCAACTTTGCTGTGGTGGGTATATAGATATTTAACTTTCGTTTGGTGGGGAAATGAAAGAGGCAATAGTATGGTGGAGAAATAATGCGACGACATAGTTACGATTTAAGTCTGCAGATGATTGAAAAGTATTGTTTGACTTCGAAGAAGGTAATTGATCTTGTACATGATTTCACTATAACTGGAGGTTGTGGCTTTCACCGTTAACACCCTCTAGACAATTTGACATTGTTTTCTGACACATTATGGAATATCTATTAGTTTTGATCAATTGTGTAGTCTCATTTGTATGTTAAATTAAGCAATGACTTCGAACGGTGAATCTCCAATTCTCCCAAACTAAAATCACCATTCAACTTTTTTGTTTTGTTTTGAAATCAGTTTGAAACAGATCTAACCTGGATAGAATCTATATTAAAATCTAAAAAACAACATGTGCTAGATTGAATTATAAGTACATTAACAAAGTTTTGAAATTGAAGTCTAGTAGGTGAGAAAAGAAGTGTTATTGTGTCAGGCCTTGTCTACGATAGTATCACCCTCCTAAACAACATCTTCTACAAATCTTGGGTGGTCTTTGATCAAACGAACTGGAAAACTAAAAGAATGAGATGTTAACATGGAAACAGAGGTAGTTTCCATCTTCAACATCAGTGAGTAACTAGACATCAAACCCAGCAAGCTCATCTGCACAAACAAATCATCAAAATTATAATTACAGCTTTCCACTAAAAATAACACAACAGACATGAGATGCCAAATGGGTCGAGAAGAGATATAGATTCCAACATATCCTTTTTTCTTTGAACGACAGACTCCAACATAACTATGGCCTTAAAAGTACACACATGCACCTTTAAAAGCAAACCCACAAATCCAAGAAAAGAAAAAGAGGAAGGACAAACAAGTAGCTTTTTCTTAACCCTAGGTTGAATCACAAGTAAGATGTATAATGAATGGAAAACTTGTATTTGGTCAAACGTGGACACAAGAATCCTCATGTTCAGACACAAGAGACACTCTTGACAATGCAAAAAGAAACAAACCATCTTCAGAATCACGTTTCCAATCTAAAATGTGTAAGACAATCTTAAAGATAGTTGAGGTAAACCTAAGAACCCAATCACACTGAGGTTACGATCATCATTAACATACCATCATCCGGAGGTGCCTGGTCGGTTTCCGCTCGATCTAGGTCGACCCAAGTATTCTGGATCGGATCCAATCCTCTCATGCCCACCCGATTTGGGTCGCCCGGTGTGTCCATACCCTGAATATCCCTGCCGCGGTTGTTCCTGGTGAGGCAATCCCAGAATCGAAGAAGAAGAAGAAGCGAGTCCAGGTTTCTCGTCTTTCCGGACAAACCCTGGCCTAAGATGCGGAGGAACGAACCTGTCAGGTTTCGGTGAAAAGGACGCCAGAGCCGGAGGAGCAGCTACGATTTTCTCGGATTCCTGAGTCCGAGATGGAAAGGAAAGCGAGGAAGCAGGTCCGGTATGACCTAAGGGACGGAGAGAGATCTGATTCGGATCTGGATCCGTAATTGCTTGATCCGGAGTCTTGGGAGGAGGAGGCGTAGTTGCGGTAGTGGTGGACGCAGCAGCATAAGATTTGAGGGGTTTGGGGGACGGTTTGGTGAGGACGAGCATACGGCCATTGGAACGAGTAACAGAGGAGTAAGAAGCAGGGGATGAAGAAGAAGATGGAGCTTTTTGGAGGATGTGGTTGTAGTTAAGGGCAGTGTTTTTGTTGTTGTTTGGTCTTGCCATTGGATACAATCTTCTTTCTCTTTTACCTATTAAAGTTTCTGTTTTTAGATTTTGGAATCAAAGGACGATGAAGAAACGAATCTATGTTCTGTTTTTCGTTTTCTCTTTTCTCTACCCTCCTCTGCTTTCTTTATTTGTCTTTTCAGAATTTAAATAAATGATTAAAGATTATTAATTGTACTTTAATGATTGCGAGAGGAGAAAGATAAAAGGGAGACGCAAGTGATGGTCATCATCAGATTAGCCACATGACACGTACCCATCCTTTTTTCAGATAATTTATTTTATTGTTAAAAGAAAATTAGATACTCAGTTAGTTTCGTTACCCCTTAATCTAGGGCTCAGCATTTTAACCTGGATCCGAAAACTCAAATTGGAACCGACCAAAAATACCCAACCTGAATTCGACTCGAAAATTTACAAGTATCTTTTGGGTTTAAATTTATTTTACCCGAATAGATCTAGATCCAAAAATAACTGATCCGAATAGACCAAGATCCAAAAAGAACCGAATCAAGTAGACCCGACGCGATAAAAATCGATTGGTATCCGACTTAAAAACATATATATCCAAAACTACGATTTTTTTGTGTTTTCTTTTATATATATCATTTTATGATTTAATTAAAATATCTTTTATTAACAATATTTATTATTATTTTGTAACATTTTAAGTATATAAAGTTTTAAAATGTAAAATTTAGAGTTTAAAAATGTTTTATGTTAGTTATTAATAGTTTAATTTAAGTTTTTTTTTTGTAAAAATTTAGATATATCTGACAAACATTGACTAAATTTGTGTGAATTTAAATATGTTATGTTTTTTCAGATCTTAAATATTTGAATCCGATCCGGATCCAATGTGGATCTGAAAATTACGGATATTTTGTATGTATTGAAGTTATAGATCCGGATCGATCCAGACTTGACAAGACCCAACCCGGAACCGACCCGGAACCGACCCAAAAAAACTATAAATACCTATATGGATCTAAATTTCTAAGACCCGAAAGATCTGGACCCAACAGAACCCGACCCGAACCCGATAAAAGGATTCAGATACCCATGCCTACCAATCTCCGATAAGCCTCTAACTAATCGTCCACTCCAGCGTCTACATCTGCCCACAGTACAATATCAACTTCACCTAAATCAAACCTACTAAGCTAGAAACATTCCATGGGAACTTTAAAACTAGGTCTAGGTGCAAGTCAGGTATTTTGGGTTTTCGCCATACCTACTACTTAACTTGCTTTATGTAAGTATTAAATTTTTTTACTTGTGCTTATACTTGATTCGATCAAGTACTTAGCTAATCAAGTACTTACCTATACTTTTAATACTTGCAAATTACTTGGTAAGATTTGATATTTTTTTATTTAAGTTTAAAAGTTTGAAATTAAATATACCAAAACATATAAGTTTTGGTTAACGTGGATACATATTTTTTCATATATTTGTTGTTTTACTTAGTTTGTTCAAGTTATTTGATTTAGTGCGTTTATATATAATTCATTGAAAACAAGTATGTATTACATTAAATACCTAAAAAATGTAATTTTATTACAATAATAGTAGTAAAACAAGTATATTAAGGGGTAGTACCAATTTTTAGAATTAATATTAAATAATAAATAAGTAACGAGTCGAATATTAAAAAAATTGTTATACTTAATACTTGACTTGTACTTGCAAGTAGTAAGATTTGCATACTTTTTACTTGTCTTGAAACGCCAAGTACATGATTTTTCAACCCGAGTACGAATCAAGTAGGAAGTATTGATGAGTAACAAATATTAGTGCCCAACCCTATTTAAAACATGTATACAAAACTATCATCACATTTCCATCCCTAAACCAGATTATTAAACTAAAGATTCAAAATTTCTGGTTGATCAAAAAAAGAAAAAAAGATTTAAAGCTTTTGATACCACATTAGAAAATGACGAAGTTGTAACACTTGCCTCTCCTACTGTCCAGATCGGCATACCACCAGCAACATTTCATAATAGAATCACTTAACTATATCTCAATTCACCCTAAACTTAAAATAAATAAGAATAAAAACATTTAGTAATACCAATCTGTCCAAATATCATATATGTTGAAGTATGGTGTTCCTAATCAGTCCACGAGTGTTTCGGTTCAATTGATTAATTGGATTGAGGATACGGTTATGATTGGTTTGTGTAAACCAATCGAGCACGTGGGAGCACATGGTACTGCATTAGTATACGAGTTATAAGTTTACTCGTATGATTCCTTTATGTTGTAAGCTGATGGTGATATAACAGCATAGAGAGAGAGAAACACTGAGAGAGAGAGATAGAGAGAAAGGGTGATCAAGAAGATATCGCCATTGTTGTATCTCGAGAGCTCAGTTAGAGCTAAGATCTCATTCTAGTGCAGTTGCTGGATCTTTCCAGCTCCGGAGAGTTATAGCGGCTCTCTCACTTCGAGGGAGTGCGGTGAACTCCGGGTCACCAAAATATCGTGTTGTTTTCTTTACAGTTTCTTCAACAAGATTAGATCTAGATCTCACAAACATTCGAAGATTCAAACTAAGATCCTAATAGAAGTGGTATCAGAGCCAGGTTCGCGAGCTAGCGAATCTGAGGTGTCGATTCCTTTCAAGATCGATCGAAGATGAAAGGGACAAAGTGTGAGATCGAGCGATTTGATGGCGATGGCGATTTCTCGCTGTGGAAGAGACGGATGTACGCTTACCTTACACTACAAGAAAACACCGCAATTCTGACGGCTATTCCGACGGAAAATGTATTCCTCAGAAAATTCCGAGGACATTCCGAGGAAATTCCGAGGAAACCCAAATTTAAGGATTCCTCGGAATTTCCTCGGAATATACTGATGGAATTCCGAGGAAACTCGGTTCCTCGAAAAAAACTGACGAAATTCCGAGGACATTCTGGGGAAATTCTGAGGAAACCCAAATTTCGGATTTCGTCGGAATTTCCACGGAATATCCCGACGGAATTCCGAGGAAAGCTTATTCCTTGGAAATAACCGACGAAAATCCGAGGATTTATTATAGCTGTTGGGGGATTTTAAAAATTCCGAGGAAATTCCGAGGAACTAGCCGTTTCCGTCTGAATTTCCTCAGAATTGTCGGCAGATTTCATCTACAAATACAAGCACCCTCATCCTCTTCATTCACTCCATATCTTCATCCTCTCACATACTATTTTACACACGAATTTGATTGAAAAAACATGTCTTCTTCTAATTATTTTCGTTCTTGGATCGATCGACCTCATTTGGATCCTAACACGAGATTGCTAACGGAAGAGTACCAAAGAGGTTTAGGCGAATTCATGGCGTTAGTTCAACGACAACCGGAAGCAAAAACAAGTATGATAAGATGTCCTTGATCTACTTGTAAAAATAAAAAGGTTATAAAAGAGTTAGATGTTTGGACTCATCTATATTTGAGAGGGTTTACACGAAGTTACAAAGTTTGGTATCATCATGGAGAAACTGATTATGAATATGGTAGTACTAGCGAACCTTAGCCTGCGGTTAGGTTAGAAGAACCAATTAGAACGGATGTAGATTATGGTGTAGGTATTGAGCATATGGTAAATGATCATTTTAGAGGGGAAGATTTACCCAATGCAGAAGCTAGGAGATTTTTTGATATGTTGGATGCAGGAAAGCAACCTTTGTACGAAGGTTGCAGAGATGGTCATTCAGCTTTATCATCTGCAACAAGACTGATGGGCATTAAAACAGATTATAATTTGGCTGAAGACTGTATGGATGCGATTGCTAATTTTGTAAAAGGTATTCTACCTGAGGATAATGTAGCTTTGGTTCATACTACGAGGTTCAGAAACTGGTAGCTGGTCTTGGTTTATCGTATCAAGTAATAGATGTATGCAGCGATAACTGCATGATTTATTGGAGGGCGGATGAGCAGCGGATTACATGCAAATTTTGTGGGAAGGCTCGTTATAAAGATACGAGTGGAAAGAGTTCCAGTGCCATACAAAAGGATGTGGTATTTGCCTTTGACGAAAAGGTTTCAGAGGTTGTATAAGTCTGAACGCACAGCGCTACCAATGAGATGGCATGCAGAGCATTCAACAGATGGTGAGATTAGACATCCTTCAGATGCAAAAGCTTGGAAGCATTTCCAATCAACATATCCAGATTTTGCGTATGAGAGAAGAAATGTCTACCTTGGATTATGTACGGATGGTTTCAGCCCATTTGGCAAGCATGGGATACAATATTCTCTATGGCCAGTCATTCTTACACCATACAACTTACCGCCAAACCTGTGCTTGCGTCGAGAGTTTTTGTTTCTCTCCATTCTCGTTCCTGGGCCAGAGCATCCTAGGAGATCACTTGATTTGTTTCTTCAGCCACTAATATATGAGTTGCAGCAACTATGGGCTCAAGGTGCTGAAACATACGATGTTTCG